TTAAAATATTTTCTATTCAATTATAATATGTTTAAAGACTATTAATTAAATGAGGAGGCTGTATGAACATTTTAGATAGATAATGATCAATAAGTTAAATTTATAAAATAAAGCTATGAAAAAAGCTTAACCATTGAAGAGCCCATTTAATTAGAGGTCAAAAGTATTAGATTAATCATGTGGCAAAAATATTAAGTGATAGGGTAGGTTAACCATTGGAGATGCTCTAAGAATTTATTTTTATAGGGACAAACATATTCAAACATTACAAGTTAATATTTATGAGTGAAATGTTTTATGATGCACATTTTGAAATTTGCTTTATGATTATCTCTAAATATTATTAAAAGACAACCCTTAATTCACCAATGAAGCAATCAGGGCCATTGATTGTATTTCAATCCTATGTTTTTCACCCTTAGATCAAATTGCTGACATCATCTTTCCAAAAAAAAAATAAAAAAATTCAAACACAATTACATTTAATTATAGAATCTTTAATAATTATAGAATCTTTAAATTTAGCAACTATGTTATCAGCATATCATTCTATTTATATACGAGATATCATTTTCTCCAATTAATATTGTTCCTAATTTAACTCCCTTATTTATAGCTTTTGGCTTTAAAATTCAAATCCGTTTAACTTTTTTTTTCTTTTTTCTTCTTCTTCTTCTTCTTTTTTTTTTTTGAAAAAACTCATTAAATAAGCATATCAATAATTTAGTTATTAACCTATAAAATCTAATCAGATCCCATTAAATCAACAAAATATCTTAGTGTCAAAATTAAGGTCAATATTATTCATAATTTATCCCCCAATATATCCCACATAAAATGAATCAATTTGAGATATTGGTTTGGATTTTAAAACTCATTACATAAGCAAGTCAATTAATTTAAAATTTTGAATCGGTATAACTGATATCTTCATTTTTTTCCAAATGAATAGCCGAAAATCTCCAAGATGATATCTTAGGATCCCAATTTTTTTGGAAGATAATGATTTTTTTATTCAAAAACACCCTATATATACGATTACATTGAAGTTGTTATTCTTAGGATTTTGGATTGTGTCCTACGATTTACAGTGTTTTCTTCAGCGGTCAGATTCTTTCTTTACTTTGTTCTCCTTCTTCTTCTCCAATTTCTTGCATTTACTTTGTTCTTATTACCTGTTATTACTGTGTTCCTGTTGAGAGGTCATAAAAAAAATTAATCAATCTACTTTAAGCATATTAGTTTCATTCATTTAGTTACAAAAACAAAATTATATCCTTTATATCGATTTTTTAATGTGTTCACCTATGTTTGTTTACGAGTCTGCGTATAATCAACGTTATATCCTCTGTTTGCAACATTCCTGAAACTTATGTAATCGATGTTCTTAATATGTGAGGGTTATCAAATGTAATCATGAATCAAATACAATGGTATATATCAATGAATGGAACTGGTATATTTCTATACACCATATAAAAAAATACTCCTCTACATTGAATTTTATTTGCATGATGAATGAGCGCAGAACAACATCTACGTATACATTCTCTTTACCTGAAATACCCCTACCCCTACCACTGATCCCCCCCCCCCCCTTCTACTGCTTGATATGTTTTCTGATGAGCATCAACAAAAACTATTTATACTTACTTTATTGTCAAGTTTGCATAATGAGGTTTTTTAAAAGTATATATAATATCATTCATATTTAGATGATAAGAATTTTATTTTATTTTTATAATTTTGATTTTGATTACATACAAAAGACTTTCTACATCATGTGTTTTAGACTAAATTACATTCAACGTCCTTGAGTTATGTCAAAAGTTATAAATTCCGTCCCTAAAACTATATTTTCACTTCGATCCTATGATTTTGAATTGTTCTTGTTTTGCTTATTTTACCCGGTCCATATTAATTACTTGGTTGGGTCACATGTGTTTAACAATCATTAGTTTTTTCACAAACAGAAACATGGCTCAAAGCAACATTACCTTCATAGACCAACTTGATGTTTCAAAAAGTCAATTTACCATGAGAGTAAGAATAATATGTCTCATGAAACATCTTGCTTATGTATCTTCAACAAAGACTTACAAAACTAATATGGTTCTCATTGATGAATAGGTAATAACATTTTTTTATGAATTTTCTTACAATTTCATTCGAACCACATATAACAATATATAAACTGATTTTTTTTGTACATTTAGGGAAGGAAGATAGAGACAGAGGTTACTAATAGATAGGTTGAAAGATTTTAAAGTTTGTTTCATGAGGATGGTTGTTACTACATCCAAAATCCACAACTTGGTATTAATCAAAACGAAAATAGTTATGTTGATAATGAAAACAAAATCAATATTTATATCACAACCAAAGTTACACCATGTAGTCAGTGGACTGGATTACTTTATGGATTCTCTTTTGCAAACTTCAACGCCATTTTGGATGGTGTTTTTATTGAGAACACACCTATTGGTTAGTTTATATGTTACAATCTAACGATCTATATAACGATATTTTGTTATTTACCATCACTCACCATAACGAAACTTTTATACTAATCTTCCATTTTTTATCTTATATAATAGATGTTATTGGAGATGTTGTGACATGCTTCCCAATGGAAACCCTTATGAACAAGAAAAATAAATTATCAAAGAGAGTCAATTTGAGCTTGGAAGATCTAGAGTATGTTTACTTTTCGAAATTTTGTGTCAAATTTTGTTTTATAATGTCATTTTATACTGTATATTTATTATATTTTTGGCTTTTGTAGAAGCAAAAAAATAAATGTAACACTCTGGGATGGGTATGCACAACAGTTTGCTGACTATTTGGAAAATAAGAAACAAACTCGTATGATAGTTGTTATTCAATGCGGAAAAAATATCTTATTATAGAGGTTTGTTCATACTATGATTAACAACTTACACCTTAAAAAAATTCAAAATATTATTATTCCTTTTACTATAAATGAATATACATTTATACCAACTTCATTATGCATCATTTCATAACGTTCCTCCGTCACAAATTGCTTCACTACGACTAGGATCTTCATCAATGATCCTATTTTAAAGCAACAAAAATAACATTTTCTTTATTGTTAAGATTTCTTGTCAAATCCAGTCCAGAAAGCACATCTGCTAATTGTAGAAACGCTCCGCCCTCCATCCTCTACTCTGCAAATGACGATTTTCCTTCATAAGTTTTATCTCCAACAAGTAGATGGGGTTTATATACTTAACTTTCATTTATGAAATATACATTATGTCAAATAGTTTTTGGATTATTTTTACCCTCATATTTCATTTTACTTTTTTTATTATATAATTTAAACTTACATCAATATTTCTCAGAAAAAAAACATTGATGGTTGTCGGTACGATTAGCCATATGTGTACTCTATAGTTATTTTGTGTCACTACAATAGAACAGAAAGAGGTGTTAATGACCATTAAAGATGAAAAGGTAAGATATAATTTAAGAATATTATATAAAGTGTAAATTGTGGATTTGTGATATTTATTTCTATGAAAAATATGTTGTTTGATTGCTAGGTTACATACCTGAGTTTCTTTTTTTTTTTTTTTTTTTTTTTTTTTTTGTGATAAGTTTGATCTAAATTTGATAATTGAAGTAGGTAGGAAAGATATGTGCTAATGATTTTGAATTTGTATTGCCCTCCAGAAACCAACCGTAGTCTCACAGACCATTCCCTCATATCTCAGTAGGTCTTAGCATTTCCCCAAATTCAGCTACAAGAAGTCATGGATGCACTTCTTGAATCAATCCTCTAAATTGAATTTCATTTGTTAGTTGGATGCAGTGACCAAAATGCAAGATTTGTGAAAGTTCATTATTATTTATTAGTGTTAACCTTTGGCAAATTATGAAACTAATGATATATTTTTGTTCATAACATGTTTTTTTTTTATAATAATTTTTTTGATCGAAAGATATGTATATGTGATAGGGTGTAGCCTGAAAAATCATATTTTAATTCTTATAAGAAAAAAATACTTTAGAAATTGACCAAATTACAATGTCTGAATTTGATGTTTATGGTTATAGCAATGCACTTTAATTATACTGTTTATCGAATTTCTTTGTAGAATTTAACATTGTTGGTACATATAACAACTTATTGTTGCTTTTGGTTTTACATGACCAATATGAAAAGAGTCATATGAGCCTCCATAGAGATTGGTACACCGACCAAAATCAATTGATAAAGCTACTATACAACATGTTTTAATCAATGAGTCGCATCATGTTGTGATAAAACAAAGATCATGTGGATCATTTATATTAAAAATTATTGTATTAAAAAATCAAATTGCTCAAATATAAATATTAAATATTTTTATTTAACAAGTTTGGTTCAAAAACTCTAAAATGAATCTAACATTTTTTATTAAAATTCCACCTAAGACAATGACATCTATTAGTATGATATGTATTTAATTTATGTTTTCCGCGTTAAAGGTAATAATCTAGTTGTGATTTGAATTACAATATCCAATATCAATGTTTAGATAAACTATTTATACTTTTGATTTTCTCATACTAGCTTTAAGGTGAAATAAATAAGCATCATATCAACTCTTTCAATAATAATAATAATAATAATCAAATAGTAAAATAGATTTTCCTAATTTACCATTTCTTGTAAAATTTACAAGGTCCCTGTATTTTCTACTGCACTTAATTATTCGATCTCTTATCAAAATAAATTATGGTTATTTTTCTTGTGATTGTTAATTATCTAAATACCATATAAACATTGATAATGTGATATATATAATGTTATTCGGTTTTTATTTTTGGAAGAATATGAAAATAAAAATCTAAACATTTTTAATACTTAAAGAGAAAATTAGAATGACCCACGAACTTACCCACTCCACCCTTTTACCCACCACATTACCCACCATTTTACCCCACCACTCTGACACTTATAAATACTAGACCCAATCGACCTTCAACTTCCATCCTCCATCCAACAATGGCTTCCTCCACGATTAACACTCTCCTCCTACTCCTCCACCTCTTCTCCGGCGTCGCATTCTCCGCCTCCACCGGCATGATCGGTGTCAACTACGGCCGCATTGCAGATAACCTCCCTGACCCAACCAAAGTCGTTCAACTACTCAAATCCAACGCCATCGACCATATCAAGCTCTATGACACCGACTCCACCGTCCTCAAAGCACTTTCCGGTTCCAACATCGCCGTCACCGTCGCCCTTCCCAATCAACTACTCTCCTCCGCCGCAGCTAACCAAGCCTTCACTGACAATTGGGTCCAATCCAATATCCTTCCCTACCACCCTTCCACCCTCATCGAAGCAATCGCCGTCGGTAATGAAGTATTCGTTGATCCAAACAACACCACCGATTTCCTTGTTCCCGCCATGAAAAACGTTTACGCTTCACTTCAGAAAAACAAAATTTCCATCAACGTGTCTTCTCCGATTGCGCTCAGCGCTTTAGCCACCTCTTACCCTTCCTCTTCAGGTTCATTCAAACCGGATCTGCTAGAACCGGTGATCAAACCAATGCTTAGCTTCCTCAAAAAAACCGGATCGTATCTCATGGTGAACGCCTACCCGTTTTTCGCATATGGAGCAAACACCGATACGATTTCATTAGATTACGCTTTGTTACGTGACAACAATGGCGTGAAGGATCCAAAAACCGGAATCACTTACAAAACGCTTCTTGAAGCACAACTCGACGCAGTGTACGCCGCCATGGATGCATTACAATTCAACGATGTGAAAATAGTTGTTTCAGAAACTGGGTGGCCTTCAAAAGGAGATTCTAACGAACCTGGCGCCGGAGAAGACAATGCTGCTCAATACAACGGTAACCTGGTACGCCGAGTACTCACCGGCGGTGGAACTCCGTTGAGACCAAACGATCCTCTCGTTGTTTACCTGTTTGCTCTTTTCAACGAAGATCAAAAAACCGGCCCTACTTCCGAACGGAATTACGGTTTATTTTTTCCGAATGAGGAAAAAGTGTATAATGTGCCGTTGAGCAGGCAAGCTTTGGCGGATTTGCCGTCGGCGGCAGCGAGTAACGGTAGCAAGTCACAGGTGCCGGTGGTGGAGGCTCCGGCGCCTAGCTCCGGCGATGTATCGGCGGCGAATACAGTAGGGCAGACGTGGTGTGTAGCGAACGGGAATGTCGGGGATGAGAAGTTACAAGCTGCGTTAGATTATGCTTGTGGGGAAGGTGGTGCTGATTGCCGTCCGATTCAGTCTGGTGCCACGTGTTATAATCCTAGCACACTTGAAGCTCATGCTTCATATGCGTTCAACAGCTATTACCAAAAGCAGACACGTGTGAGTGGATCGTGCGATTTTGGGGGTGCGGCGTACGTGGTCTCTCAACCTCCTCGTATGTATCCTAGATTCTCTCTTTATCTTGTATTACTTGATTTAATTTTAGAATTTTATAAATATTTAAGGTTACAAAATCTCATTATTAACATAATAATTAGTAAAATAATTTAGGTTTTACATATTTTAGTCTAACAAGAATATATTTTTTACAGGATTCGGCAGCTGCAAATTTCCTACGGGATATTAGGAGGAAAATTATGAGCTTTGATGCCTTGATGGTGTCGTTTAGTTGGTTATTATTTATGTTTTGGAGGCATTTTGTTTTATTATTTAAATATTTATTTATTATTGTTTATTTAGACAAAATGGTAGTTAGGTTTGGTTGCTTGTATTGGTTATGACTTTTAATATTTGTTCCTTGTTATCTTGTGTTATATCATATTAAATTTTTTTCTTTCTAATACGTGATTACTTATAAATATGCGAGTTACCTAAAATTGTGTTATAATCATGGTTTTAATGAATAAACGAGATCGGCTTAATAATTAAAGATTGATTATCGACTTAAATTCATTGCTTAGAGTTGGCAATAGTTGGTGAGTGCAGTACACAAATTAAGGTTTGCCTTGACAATCTAGCCCGATGTCTATGCACGAAAAATAAATAATAATAATAATAATAATAATAATAATGATAATAATAATAATAATAGTAATCCGATCTTTCTAGTATGATAGTTTTCTTTTTTGGAATCAACAAATATTTTATAAAGAGAGGGAAGTAGCTAGAAGGGCAAAGGGGATACAACATTAGAGTTTTAAACAGGAAAATAAAATGCACCATCTAATTAAAGGGGTGAATACACCAATCTACCGAATTACACATATATGGGACTCATATGCTTGATCCATACATATACCACCTAGCAAGGATGATAGCTTTTGTTGAGATTTTTAGAAGGATTGTTTTATGTACGTTATTTTATATGTCCCTTCTCAAAGATGGGTACTCAATAACTTTAAAAGTGGGTTACGTAGTATTATGTTATCATGATGGGTTTTAATGGATAATAAGAACAACTAATAATAAAAGACTCAGTCACGATAGATTAATTATCGTCTTAGAAACGATTGAAGAGTCGTGAATCTTAAATTCATTGCTTAGATGTCAACAACGGTTGGTGGGTGCATAGAGAGGGTTTGCCCTAACAATTGGATCATTGTTCTAATTTTATAGTTTTTTGTTGACGTTTTTAAATGATTCATTCTCGGACATTATTGTATATTTGTATGCATTTAGTATTTAAAGATGGTTACTTGAAAACAACGTGCAACCATTGGTGCCCCACCACTTGTGCATTAACCAAAATGGTTTTATGGATTTAGTGATTTATTGTTTTTGATCTACACTCTAAATAAGGGTTATAGTGATTTATTGTTATCAAAGGGGTAAAATTCTTGATCGTGTGTGGCCAACAATCGGTCATAACCACTACTACCAACATAAAAGAGGTAAACCATGATGTTATTATCAAAAAATAAAAATAAAAAAATGATAGATGAGTTTGAACCTAAGATCATATTGTTGTAAATCAAACTAATAGACACGCAAGGAAACCGACAAATAATATTGAGAATTATATGTCAGTTAGTTGCGAATAACAAATCCAATTATTATTATTATATTTACCAAGTTTCGTCCAAAACCAGATTAATCCTTCACGATTAGATCTGATTATAAGAAAGGAAGAAGAAGACTGTCCTGTTGTTGGACGAAATTAATTGCAAGACAGAAAAGTAAAACCGACCTGTTGACGGTTGATATTGAACTTTAAACAACTGCACGGATCGGACTCCTGTCCTTAAAGGTTTTTACTTCGCTTCTACTGGCTGTAAGCAACAGAGTAAAACCCCAGGATTTAATGCAGATCTATCGATCTTCCAACAACACTGGAAATCGACAAACACAAAGCGAATACTCGGAAACCAGAAGAAAAAACGCAGAGAGTGAGAGAGAGCTTCGATTTTTTTTGTGAGTAGTAAATACGGCTCCTAGGGTGTTGTATTTATAGGTATTGAAACCCTAGAAGGCATGAAACAGGCCCCCATAGGCCGGCCCCAGAAACCCTAGGGCGACGGCTTGCTCTCCAAGCAAGTCGTTTCCTGATCCTTCTAGAATATCCCGACTTGTCCTCCACGAAGTCAACGGCGGTCAACCATTTGACCGGATAGGCTGGATCGGTCAAAATGGCTTGACCCAAACTCGTCAAAAATAAAAGCTCCTCAGCTCCCAGCGACCTATGCGTCGTGCAAAGTGTGCCTAAATCGCACCATTTCGCGCACTCGCGGCGTCGGCTAGTGCTAGGCTAGACTAGGCGCGCGCGTGGGCTTGGCTCATTCCTTGATCCACTAAAGCCTTTGAAGGCCTATCAAGGGATTAGGCATATAAACCCACTAAAAGTTTCTTCCCCCACCAATGTGGGATAGAGGAAACTTGCCAACTTGCAATTTCCACTATAATTTCCAACAATCCCCCACCAAGTTGGAAAGTTTCCTTTCACTCAGACAGATGATGTCACTTGGGTGTCACGAAGATTAAACCCTAGTTTAATGAGAACAAACAAGAAGAGACCGATTCAATGGTATCCTTATAGGTTTAAACCATGAACCTTAATGACCTCTCCGGTTTACGCCCACACATCACAAGTCATCTTTGTGTTCTCCCTGAGCGCCAATATGGCCATGCGCTATAAACCCTTTTCATGACCCTTTAGAAGATAAACCACTAATCTTCACATGAGGCGGCACCACCTCTAGATCATATATGCAAAGTTTTACAACATCTTCGTTTCTTAGATGTCTCCAAAACTTTGTTAAGAGTAGTAACTCAACCTCGTTCTCAGCAACGACGTACTATCCTACCTCACATGGATCTATCATTAATGATAGTACCTTCTATCGTTAGTGACTTCGTTGTTACCTTTTAAACTTGAAAATTAGGAGCACTAATGTCAATTTGGGTTTCCATCACTAAACGATTCTGTTGTGGTTTTAGACCCATGACTCTCGTGGTAGATGTAACCAAATCTCTCGTCAGAGGTTTGGTAAACGGATCTGCCAAGTTCCTACTTGTCTTGACATAAACAACCTTGATGGTACCACTTTCAATTAGTTGTCTCACAAAATTGTGTCGCAGACCTACATGTCTAGACTTCCCATTGTATACCACATTATATACTTTAGAAAGTGTGGCCTCACTGTCACAATACATGGGTATTGAAGGCATTGGAGTATCCCACAGACGAATATTCATAAGTAGATCTCGAATCCACTCTGCCTCTTTGCTCGATGCTGCTAAGGCAATTAGCTCTGCTTCCATAGTTGAATGAGCTATGCATGTCTGTTTCTTGCTCGCCCAAGAAATAGCACCACCAGCTAGAGTATAAACCCAACCACTTGTTGATTTTCAATCACTAGTGTGATCAATCCAGCTGGCATCGAAATAACCTTCAAGTACTCCATTAGATGACGAATATGTCAACTCAAAAGTACTTGTCCTTTTCAGGTATCCTAGTACTCTACCCACTGCCTTCCAGTGCTCCGTCCCTGGATTAACAGTATACTGACTCAATTTGCTTACAGCGAATGCGATATTAGGTCGTGTGCAGTGAGTAGCATACATCATGCTTCCAACTGCACTAGCATATTCTAGTTGAGCCACTGCTCGACCAGAATTCACCTTTAGTTTCACACTTGAATCAAAAGGAGTGTTGAATTCTTTAATGTTCAAATGTTGAAACTTTGTCAGAATTTTCTCTATGTAATGAGATTGACTCACAGAAATCTGACCACCTGTCCTTTTCACCTTGATACCAAGAATTGTATCAACTTCTCCAAGATCTTTCATCTTAAAGTTTGAGGATAGATATTTCTTCGTCTCAAGAATACCTTCTAGGTGAGTGCCAATGATCAGCATATCATCAACATAAAGACATATAACTACTATGTAATCGGATGTATATTTGGAATAAATACATCTGTCATCACTGTTGTGCTGAAAACCTAAGGCAGTCACAGTGGTGTCAAATCTCTCATGCCACTGTTTGGGAGCTTGCTTCAACCCATACAAGGATTTAACAAGTCTACACACTTTGTTTTCTTGTCCAAGTATCACGAAACCTTCAGGTTGCTCCAAGTAAATCTATTCCTTGAGATAACCATTCAGAAAGGCTGTCTTCACATCCATTTGATGAATGTACAATCCTTTCAAGGCTGATATTGCTATGAGAGTTCTAATTGAACTAATCCTAGCAACTGGGGCATATGTCTCAAAATAATCGATCCCTTCTCGCTGCCGATAGCCCTTTGCAACCAATCTCGCTTTATAGGTGGATATGGATCCATCTGGATGATATTTCCTCTTGAATATCCATTTGGATCCTATGGGTCTTCTCCCCTTGGGTAGATCATCTAACTCCCAAGTTCCATTACCCATAATTGAATCCATTTCGTCATTTATGGCTTCCTTCCACAAAGGAGCATCTCGAGACGTTATAGCTTCAGTAAAAGTCTTAGGATCATCATCCAAGTTAATGGAAAAGATGACCTCTTTCGTCACTTTCTTTTGCGTTCCTTCGACCAAATAAGAATAGAAATCATCTCCAAAACTTTTCTCTATTCTAGCCCTAGTACTTCTCCTTGGTTCCTCCACAATAGGAGGAGGTGGGAGTATTTCTCGAGAAGTACTTGTAGGTGTTGTATGACTAGAGTTTTCTTCATCCCTAGAAAACTTGTCCTCAAAGAATTCCACATCTTTGGATTCCACAACAACACCCGAATCAATATCCAACAACCGGTAAGCCTTGCTATTTTGAGCATACCCAATGAATATACTCTTATTAGCTCGTGCTCCCAATTTGGTTCGCTTAGGATCGGGAGTCCGATAATAAGCAACACACCCCCACACTTTCAAATAGTCTAGGTTAGGCTTTCTACCTTTCCACAACTCATAAGGGCTTGTAGGAATCACACGACTAGTGATCCTATTATGAACATAGCAAGCAGTCAATAGTGCTTCCCCCCACAAATTATTTGGTTGACCCGATTGGTTCAACATACTGTTGACCATATCACAAAGGGTTCGGTTCTTTCTTTCAGCCAAACCATTCTGTTGGGGAGTGTATGGTGAAGTTCTCTCATGTTTGATTCCATTCTCTTCGCAGAATGTTTTAAACTCTTGGTTGACATATTCTCTGCCTCTATCCGAGCGAAGAATTTTGATGTGTCTTTCAAGTTGATTTTCGACCTCAGCCTTATACCATTTAAATGCATCAAAAGCTTCATCTTTTGATCTCAGCAAATAAACATGTAGATATCGACTGAAGTCATCACAGAATGTGATGAAATACCTTTTTCCTCCTCGA